ATTCATTCATATTTTGATCATAGCTGAGCTGGATATCAGTGATATTTGATGATGGTATTAACTGTTTCTGTTATGCCATACATGTTTTCAGGACAGCCCCACGTTGGTTTGGGTATTTCGGCGAACAAAAAAGATGCGGCAACCAATGCGGCACGTGATTTCGCGCAATTTCTTATTCGGCAAAAATTGCTCGATCCAGCTGAACTTCCCGCACTTACGGTATACATTTGTCCACTTCTTTTTGTAAATACTAGGATATATATTGCATCAATCTTTGTATGTGTTGTAGAAATTTTGGAAACATAAACAATGAATATCCCTGGCTAGGAGACTGGAAGAGGACGAGGGAGCCTTGAAATCGCTTCTATGCGTTAACATATGCAGTCTGTTTGGGGTTGCTGGCCCATCACGGAGAGGAACGCAATCGAACTTTGATAATTAATGAAAACACTGGAAATGTCATTCAGATCCCCCAAATAAGCAAGCCTGTATGTGTACAGTGACTTGGTAACCTGTCTGTGTTTCATCCCTGAACTGTAAACACGGAGGGCAGAATCGGTGCGGAATGGGGTGGGAATGATCAGTACAGCGACCCGTTTCGTCATGCTAAAAGGAACATGTTGATTACCTGAGGAAGATGAAGAGGAAGGGAAGGAGGGTTGGTGTAAAAGGAGACTATAGAAAGCATTTATGTATGCATGTACTTTCATTCAACTTTCATTTTTCTTCAACTTTCATTTGTCTTTGACTTTTTCTTCAACTTTGTCTTCTACTTTCTACTTTTCTTTTTGCTTTTGCAGGCACATCAACTAGCTTATTCAGTTTCCTGTCTTACTAAATTACCTTTCAAAATTCTTTTACCGCAATCGTCGTACTGACGTGGTCGTCCAATTGTGTTAAAAGTAAGAAATGTATACGACTTAATGGACCGAAACACTTCGTACCTACTTTAATAATTCTTTACAACCCTTTCATCGTTTTTTGCTCATATTTTTTCTCTAACCCTAAATGTGTATATGGAAGTGCATGCATGCAGGATGTCATGTATAACTGCAGCACATTCTTGCAGCTAACGGTCTTCAAGCCCATAATTCTTGGCTTTTACAGGTGTACATGAAATCAGCAATAATGGCAATAATAATAGCGGTGATAATAACAATGATAATAATAATAATGGTAATGATAACAATAATGACAATAGCAATGATAATAATAATAATGATAATAATAATAAACAGTTTTATAGGTTTCAATGTTGGAGTCAACAACAAATTTGGATGCGTCAGGTTGGGGTACCGGTGCTG